ATTAGCGACAACCCGCTTTGCGTCTACTGCTGGGGTTATGGTGTTTCACGAGAGACGAATGACTGGTTTTTGTCAGGAAAAAAAATGATTGTTGGATCTCCACTTCAGCTCATCGTCAGTACGTCAACCAGTAAACTTTAGTGCAAAATCTAGCGTCCACTTTCCAACCAAATTTTGACATCTTGTTTTCATCACCACTGTTGTTGACAAAAGCTCTTCTGCTTTTGTTGGTTGCCGATATAACGTGCATTTCCCAAACGCCACCTTCATCGAATCATCCCCGATGTCAAGGTTTGGCACGCATGATCCCATAGAGGTAAGAGACTATAGCCTGGCGCCTCAATATCTCCATGAAAAATTACATTGCGGGGAATGTTGCCAATACAGTACAATGCGTCGTGGCTCATACATCAGTCGTATGGCTCAATCCGTCAACCACTGCGTGAACAGGGGGCATTGGCTGGTGTGGCGCGTGGGTGGAAGGAAACGTAAACCAGGTCTTCTAGGGATTCTGGGCGCTGCTTGTATTTTTCATAGACGTTGGGGGCCTCGTCAACCTCCCCACCGTCAATTTGTAGGGAGCGGGAATGCCTAGCAGGGTTACGGCAGTCGACATATAGACAGGTTCGTGAGCCCTCCTGTAACGGCAACCCGAGGAGCAAGTGGCCCACCTCCTGCTTCGAGTAGTCCCGCTCAGCAACTAGCTGATTCAGGAGCTTTGACGTGAAGGATATCAAGGGGTTCTGGTCCTTGACCCGTGGCATCAGGGCCTTCCCAATTTGGGCAAAAGTCTCGCTCTTCTTTTCCGACTTGGAACAGTATTTGGCCACGTAATCGACTACTTGTTGTAGGCTCGTGCATGGCGAGATGTCTGTATTGGCCAGCCATGCAACGGTCAGCAAGCGGTTGTAGTGGTTGATTTGGCTATCGTTCCGCTCGCCCCTGAAGCACCAGTGCTTTGAATGAGGAAGCTTGTCAAGGGAGGCTAGTAGGCGCTGACCGTGAGGAAAGCCAAAGCGACACTCCACCTGCTTGGTACGCCTATTGAGTTGCATACAGTAGTTGTTACAGCGGTGACGTTGTACACGGTTGACTACCATTGATAGTAGCTGAACCGTGAGGGGCTGTTGCAGAAGATTCATGGTCAGCGGATTTCCTTCTCCAGGGGCCTGCACTCGCTGAGGCTCTGGGTTAACAGCAGACACGTGATATCCCCAGATGCGGGCAAATTGCTCGCGGGACTGATCGTTGTCAGGATCAAGATCTGGATGGCAATTTAACCAATAGAGGCCGTGGTGGTGACTGGACCCCCGGCCCTGCCACTCGTAGCGACCCCAAAAGTCTATTAGGTTAAACTTCTGCTTCACAACAATGGTTCTAAATAGCGTATAACGCGTATGGAAGTGGTAAGCAGCAATATGGGCGTTGTCTCGCAGCAGTTGCCGTGACAGGGCTAGCCGGGCCGCCTCAGGAGCCGCTTGCCACTCCTGGAATCGAGGTATATGACGGTACAGGGACTCCCAGTGGTAATCAGCTGCACTTGCAGTAACGAAAAGGCCAGGCCTGCCCAGGTTATAGGCATACGCTTCCAATCCTTTCTTTGCTTATACCAATACGGCCGGGTGCCTCTGATTACAGCGGCTTGGCGTGTGATTGACTGGATCAGGGCTTGAGCCTCTGGCTCGTCAGGCTTAGCCATGGCCTCCTCTAGGTCAGCGCGTGTAAGGGCCTGACATCGGCCTTCGTGCTGCTTGACGAAGTAGTTGCTTCGCTTCCGGACGTGCGCACGCAACAGCGTGTTGAGGGCGACGAAAGGCCACGTCTTATGGCGGGCAAAACGTCCATCTTACCATCTCATCGCATGGGCAAGATAGTCCTGGTACGTGATGGTCCGCAGGCGAGGCTCCGTAAAGTCTGCCTTGCCCTCAGGATACAGGGTGGGGAACGCGAGCGATAGCAGCGGCTGGGAATGGTTGAATTCGTTGATAGGGGTCCTGCGAATGGAAGGCAATGACATCTGGTGCTGAGCCTGCGCGCTACGCGGCATATCCTCAAGAACAGTCATACTCTCATAATCAGGCGTGCCGTTGAAAATTCGGGATTGCAGGGCATTTAGCTCGGTGTCGGCAACCTGCAAATTCGGGATTGCCGATGCGTCGGCATCGCTTGGATCTCCTCCGTCGTCTGCGGTTTCCTCAACAGGGCCTTGAGGGGCCTCGCTGTCAGGTATGTCAGCCACTTGGCTAGCAATGGAATCAATAATGCTGCCGTCAACAGGAAGTCTTTGCAAGAAATCCTCGCGCACAACAATTTCACGATAGCCCTGGTGGTGGCGCTGTAAGTACTGTAGCCAAATCAACAGGCATGAGCGGCGCACCCGGAAATCGCGAGCAAACTGCGGCTGGAGGAGAGGGTCGCCGTCCACAGGAGGCCGTAGGAGTATGATATCTAGGTTTTCAGGTAAGACTGGGAGCTCTTCAAACAGTTTGCCAACATTGCGAAGAAAGTGGACAACATGACCGCGGTATTTATATTGGGCGCCACGTACCTGTAAGACCTTCACATGTACGTGTACTCTGGCAATAAGCATCTCCTCTACCATCGTCAGATTAGGTAGATTGCTGGGGACTTCCCCAAAGTCAAGGTGATTGGCAGCACTGAAGAAGCAGGGCTCGTCCGAGGCTCTCTTCCTGTCTCGACTAATGCAGCGGCTGCAGATGTTCAAGCTATTCCTCTTCATGTCGAACCAACGCTCTTGGCAACGGGGGCAGCTTTGCATCTTGTCATCATTCAAGGCAGTATAGAACTGCCGCACAAGGACTTGATCTTCCTCACTGAGGGCAGGCAGGTTGAGGTCCCCGGTAAAAGGCGGATCGACTATCTGATCAAACTGTCGCTCTTGAGGCTGTGAACTTTGACGGGCATAGCGGCCACGACGACGAGCCTGTGGCGGTAATGAAGGAGTGGGGGGAAGCGATTCCTGCGGTATAAGTGTACCTAGCACAACAACAGGAGTCGTAGACTGAGTGCTTCGAGGAATCGGCGTGCCCAGAACTACTGTTGGCAGGCCGGGCTCAGGAGCAAAGGAGGAGGGGTCATCGACCACAGTTGGGGTGAATGGCCCCAGCCGAGGTATAGGAAGTTCTGGAAATGCGGGCACCAGATCACGGAACAGAACAGGCGTGGTGGCAGCAAGCGATATGCTCTTTACAGACGAAGACGCTGGCGCGGTCCGCCTTGGAGGCGTCAGGTCGGCCAGCGAATCGGTCCTCTTCGTGGCCTTGCGTGGCGATAGCCTCAAAGCGATATTCCGCAGGCCGGCAACGGCTGCTCGAGATTCGGCTACCCGTTCCTTTTGGCGTGCCCTGCAGCTAGTACACTGTCCTATAAATTTCCTAGGGTCCTTAACGCTTCGAAATTCGACTTCCGGCAGGTCTCGCTTGCAGGTACGGCAGCTGCGGACTGCTTGGGGTGGTTCGTCCTCCATCTGGCCGCATTCATATCCACCCCGTACCCCTTAGACTGTGAGATATCGGTCGAGCAGGAGGCTTGGCGAGGACTTTACATGGTTGCGATATATTTGGTGGAAAAGGGATAGGTTTTGTAAGAGGGCACGGGATTTATTCGACCAAAAAGTGATTGAATTGAAGAAACCAAGAAGTGCAAGCTCTCCGAGAGCTGGCTACCGGTTGGTTGCCTTGTCGACGCTCAGGGGTTGTGTAAGGGAACTTCATTTGGTGGCGTTAGCCGACCAATTCCAGCACGAGTTGAGTGCAGGGAAAGCCAATGAACCAATCAGAGGGGGTTTTATGCTCTTCTTTCTGACTGAATAAACGCCCTTCGGGCTGAATTATAGCTCTTACGTTAACTATGGCACCCTGGAAGAAAGATACGGCGGTGATAGGATTTTATAGTAGAATTCGAAAGGACTTTAGACCGTCTACATGGGCATTGGGCAACAGCGTCTGTTGCGTCCTCTGGTAACGACTTGGAGGTACAAAGGGGTTTGGGCGCTAAACTACTTTCAGACTCAATGTGGGTATCCTTATTTATCTTATGTACCGACACCGCGACACCCATTACGCCTTCTACTGTAGCT